TACGACTTGTTTAAGTCTTGGTTAACGATCCAAACCTAGCCTATCGTGGTACCTTATGAGATAGCCACTTACCCCCTGGGCTCTCCAACTATAGTGGAAGCCTACGAATGGAGCTGCGATCAAATTCGTTATTAATACGGCAATGCATTAATGTTGGCACAGGGTATTTTAAGCGCCATTATACTCATTCATACCTATATTTTGGATAGTCGAATTGACGGGTTTTGCCGCATGCAATGCAAGTCAATTGCATCGCCTGATTGATGTGATGATTTCAGCCCGAATCCAGGCATTGCAGGGCTTCTTTTCTAATGCGTCAATCTTAGTGAAATCAGATCGACTTGGTGACGTCATCAACGGTTGCAGTAGTAGTTAAAATCTACTAAGTTTACTCGTAAAGCAGTTTCTACAGATGATAGGTCTGTGATCAACGCCCATACTGCATTATTGCAAACAGCTTCAGTACAGTGCATTATTATTCTGTGACAGTACTCAAGGCAATGTATTACTGCTGACTGTTGTGACTGTTGTTCCTGGTTGTAGTGGGTAATAATGACTATTGTTTATCTGTGGTTAGTGATTAATCCACGCCGCAAAGTGGTATCTTGTCGTTCCGTCAGTAAGTATATGGGAACGCGAAAAAAAGCTGTTGGACGTTCCTTTCATGTGCGATGGTTACCTACTAGGTACTTATTTTGAATTGAGCTAGGTATTTGTTGAACCATCGACTAGAATCGATAGAATAACGTGCAAATTATTAAAAAACCAAACCCCAAATCTAAGGGCACCATTTGTAGAAATCCGACTAGCCGTTTGGGCTGTACAAGACTAGCCCTAATGTCAATTTTCTTACATACGCTCGAAAAACATTACTCTACTTCAGAGGAAGTCGGGTAAAAACACATTTGTGTGCAGATACTCCACTCCACAGCCTTTTTAAACTTCGACGCAAAAACAAGCCCGTTGTCTAGTAGTAGTAAAGTCAAACCAATCAGAAATAAATAAAAGTGAACGCCGTTTGAAAGTGAAAACATGAAAAGCAAAAAGTATCGGACAAACTTGCCATACATTAAAGACCTATTAACAGACGAGCTTTTCTTAAAATGACACTACAAGGACACTACACTACACTTAAAAGTTTATTATTTATTCTTATGGTTTAAGTCAAGATGCAAAAGCACGTCCGACGTTTTTGTATCCTGTGTTTTTTTGCTACCTATTTGGTTTTATTAATGGTTGGCTCATTAGGTCCGTTTAAAATAGCAACATAAACCACTATTCTTGTATAGCTTTATAGACGTACTCTGCAGTCTACCTCCATGCCTTGGTTTGTGCGAATATTTACAACTCATTTAGGTGTCCTATACGTTGCAATGTTATTTCTGGCTACTCAGACGGGGACATAAACTTGAAACTTTTATAGACGCCTTAAACTTTAGCACAGTAAATCGTGGTAAGTTATAGCTAGGCCTAAGTCTTGGACGCTCTTGGAAATGTCAGGAAGGTTCGAAGACATACGTGTTAAATTAAATGACTGGTGGTTCAGAATCCAAAAGGCATCAAGTATAGATTACGAGTTGGTCCTAAAAACAAAAGTTGGCATTCCTTTTTTAGTATCTAGAGCTGCTTAGGTAAACGTTAGTACTTAGGTGTACGTATCTACTAAAGTATATTACCTACCTATCTATATTTCTTTAGAAACGATGTTAGATGAGTCTAGCTGTGGACGTTTTACAGCTGTTAATGATGAGATGAAATATTTAGGTATATATTTTAGAGTTAGGATGAATAACTGATCAATAAATCCTTTGAAGACATTTTGATTGCATTCATATCGCATTTTCCTCTTCCAAACTCGATCCAAAACTAATCTCTGTCACATTAGCTTTAAAAATGGTATTGGCAAATTTAAAACACTTAAGGACATTGCGCAACGAATTTCTCAAGAAATTCGCATTATCTCGTATCACGTAATAATACAAAACGCGGTTACCTTAGCACCGATGCCTGATTGCCGGCCATAAATCTTGCGAATCTCGGAGACCGTCGCAATCCTTGCTTAATGCGAATAATTAGTAAAAGCACGACTTAACCCGATTTCGAGCTCTTCCAATGGCGCAGTTGTTTAGCGGTTGTAGCGAGGGCTCTCGACAATAAGTTCGTGTGATTGATTCTTTTACTTTATTATGAGCTTTTCATTTTCTCTGCTCTTCATCCAGGTAGACGTTTTTAAAAAAGATTGTGCCACGAAATTTCCACGAAACGAATTAGGTACTCAAATTCAAGACTCTGGTATCAGTTTGTTTTATGATGCAGACTCAGTACCTGTACCTACCTATGCTCGGTATAAAATCATTCTACTCAAATATCTCCGATACCATTATCAGTGCCGGCCGTAGCTAAGGGGTGCGGGCGGGCATCCACCATAAAATTCCGCCCCGGAATCAAGCAAGCTACGCCATTTTTTATTAATTTTATGTGTTTTAATCAATTTACGTATCATTCTGTTTCCTTAAAATTTTCCTTAAACTCTTATTTCTTTTAGTCAACTTTGATCATCTTCAGGGATAAGATATAGGACGACGCTATTCTAATCCGGCAGCGCACAGACTTGCTTAATGCGAATAATTAGTAAAAGCACGACTTAACCCGTTTTCCAAGTTAGCTGTATCGATCATCGTTCGATATGATCTTATCCACCGATCGAGACACAATGGGAAGGCATCTTTTATCTCCGAAAAGAGGTATCTTTTATCTTCGAAAAGTGATTAAGCGGTGCTCTTAATCGTTGGGCAATGTTGGGCGACTGGTTTTCACAATGTCATCGTTCCAGTGTTGTAAGATGTGTTTTGTGAGGTAATTAGTTCGATGCATTGTTTTAGAATATGTTTAGACCTCTTTGTTATGTCATAGATGCATTGTAATTTATAAGTGCCTGCACATTTTGACCCCTTACCTATTTAAACTTCAAAGCCGGCCATACGGTACAGAAGTGGAACGTTCGGGGTAACTTTGACTGCAGCTCTATTACTTAAATACAGCGCAAGAATAGCGTTTATACGTTTGCACAGCAAAAATGCATGATCGTAGATGGCTCCAATTTGTGTAAACGTATTTTTTGCGCATTAGCATTAGCTTCAATAAGATATAAAACTGGATAACTAATGGCGTCACTCTGAAGTGTGCCTTTTTTCTGTGATTGGTGAAAAATATGTTAATGTCAAAGTTTAGTTACTTCTTATTGGTAAAGGCACACTTACGCCTTCTGTCATCTGCAATGAGCTTTGAGTTTTTCTCCTCATATAGAGCAACAATCAAAATTACCTCGAGAATCATAGGAACCCCAGTCAACCGTAGCAATAAAAATTTAACAGCTTTTCTAATTGTATAAAGGTGAATTAAGAATGCAGGTCAGTCGTTGTTTACTGAGTTCAATCTTGCTTGAGTAAGTATTACTTACAAAGCAGTCAATCTTATTTGTACCTAATTAGTTTAATCGCGCTAGCTTTTAATACCTAATGTTGACATTCAAGCGTAAAGTAGGCGAAGAATTTAGGATAATGACCTATCAACGTTCGTTTGAGATTATGTCAGTATTGTGATGATGAAGTGAGACTGTGTTACTAGTACTATTATACGCTTACATTGATGATTTGTTACTTGGATTACACAGGGTGCTAGGTAAAGTAATGTGTCCCTTTTATGGGACCATTTCCTAATGGGCCTAGGTGTATAGGTAATAGACAAAACACTCATTGACAAATTCTAACCTCACAAAACTACGGACCGAACGTAAGATACTGTAACGATTGATAATGTTCAAGAGGTCAGGGAAATAAAGTTGGCATCTGATATCCTGGCAGTAAATTTTTTGACCGAGTTAAAAAAACAATTCAATTTTCTGAAATAACATCACATAGCATAGCATTAGGTACCTTTGGAAACGTTTACCTAGCATCTATAGAGACGCTTAGGTTGCCAGCTCCAATTAACACCGGAGATCGCAGGCCGAATGAGGTTATTTATGAGGTATCTAAGGAGTATTTTTGTTTAGTCCTTTGGGGAATGTTTCCTTGGGGTCAGTTGCAAATGCTTTGAAAGAACCATAGCACTTTGTCTAACATCTTGTATATCGATGATATGTTACTCGGGTTACAGAGGTCAACGGCATCATTACATCTCTTCGGTTCACCGCGGCCATACATCAAACGGTTCGTAGCCTGTCAACACACAATTTGCACACAAGATCATTATTATGCCATTAGTGTTTAGAATCCATGTGAGATATGTCAGGTTACGTACTTGTTTACTAAAGATACTGATATAAATGGGTTGGTTAATATGCGTTTATGTAACTAGAGGTAATTTATTTAGCACTTAGTTTAGTAGGTACCATTTGGAAACGTTGGACACCATCAAGTTTGATTGCCCATATTCCTTAACGTAGGTATTTTCGAAATGTTTTGCGAAAAAATTCAACAACGGCCTTGAGAGCAATTGGCTCCAGCACAAATGCATAGTTACTTAAGAGTTTACGAGTCGTATAATATAATGGGTGGCGCCAGTATCGACGGTTATGTCACCGAGATCGCAGACGTCAATTGCATCCGTATCAGAGATCCGCAATTTTGCGTATGCGCACTCTTACAAATAAGTAAGTGTGAAATTCCTTTCCAATTGGTCAGCCACAGAAACTTACAGCTTAGTGACAATGGCAGGCCATAAAAACGATGTGGGTAGGTACTGCACGGCGGCGTAACTTTCTGCTCTCAACATTACTTAGTTAGATTGGCTATTGATGAATGGATGAGATTGACAGAGGACCATATGAGGATTGGCTGTCTCTGGAAGGCTAACCACGTCGTCTGCGTCACAGTGTGTAGTGGACGGATGTGGTGTTGGCTGATGAATTTGCGATGAAAAATCAAAAGGCTCGTAAGTAGTCAAGTAACAAAAATATATAAACGAAGCAAGTGTTTCACAATTTTGCCTGGGTTAGAGCCACCGTGGTGTAGCGGTGAAACACGTCTGACCCGGTTTGTCAGAAGACGTGGGTTCGAATCCTATCAGTGGCGTGATTTTTTTCCACTTGCTTCTTTTGTATTAACTTTGTAGCCAAAAAGTTAATATCAAAAGGCTCTGTCTTACCAACTGCATACGACAACATTTGTATCGAAAATGGCTACGTGTAGAATTCTGTTGACATGGCCAGGCACCTTCGCATGCAGCTTTACTTCAAATCGCTAATGAGATAATTTTCCCCGAAATTGACCTGTCCTGTTACATTAAACTTTGGGGGCTAAAGCTGACAGAGTTTTTAATACGGCATGACAGTTTCCTCTCCGACATTGCAATTATTATACAGGGCGACCCTGTTTAAGTGGTTCAAAGAAAAAATCTAGAACGTGATTCTAGCAGACAGATCTCCTTAGCTAATCTGAATTATTGCTTGCAATAATCGAATAAAGTCAGTTCATACAAAATGTTTTATCAATCAGCCTCTGCGTCATTACTATAGGATATAGGAGGTCCACTTTTTTTACTCCGAATGGTATTAAAAATATTCTAGGTTGGTAGCTAAGGATAATATCTAAAAACAAGTTTTCTTTTTTGGGCCACATAAACATGGACACCCCGTATCAGCTCTTAAACAGAGACACCCCGTATCAGTGGGTCCTGTCAGTTCTTCCAAAGGGACCGCCTGACGTTGACACGGAAACGCTTATTCCTTTATGCGATGGAACGAATCCGAAGATTACATCATAATCACATTAAATGCAGAGCATTTAATACTGGATATAGGAAACGTAGGATCCTACGGTCAGAGTCCGGATTATCCTCTTCATAGATAACGGCAGAAAAGCAAACACATACAAGTAAGTATACATTAGGTAGGTACCTATAACTACATAGTCTTGGTAATTAGCGATTTTTTATTGATTGGCTTTTGTTCCAATATCATAGAATACCCTAAGAGAATACCTACCAGTGGCGAAGGGTCCATACATGCCGATTCTCATCGGCTTCCCTTTCAGAAATTTGCGAATTCATACTGCCCATAGGTACTTTCACACCAATCTTCTATCATTGAGTAATTTTTGCTTCGTTAAATAGCCACCCTCTACCTAGAAGTCTTTCGTTTTATCACTCATGTCTGTCAGTCATTATGACTGATGGTGAAAACTACCTAGTCTTGGGAGGTAGCTCCTGAAGTGGTTTTAGGTTGCCAGTTCTAACACTGGCAGTTTCCATGGTCGTCGTTATAGCATACTTTCAATCGGTAGACTTATGAGGTAAGACTTTGTCAATGGGAGCTCTATTTAGTGGGAGTCTGATATATCTATGAGTAAGACCGAAATTTCTACAGAGCTTAGACCATGACCTCATCGTTGTGCATTATTACGTTCGATCTATTACATCATTAAATTCCAAATCTGTTCCAATTTCATTGTTGACAAGCTAATCTACCAAAATTCCGGTTCGCTGGTCAAACAAAGAACTTGGTATTTCCAGATAGTGTTTACAGATCAGATAGTCAGCTGTTGTGGTATTCAGGTCGTCTGAAGTCTGAAGGCCGTGTGCAGGATACACCCGATAAACCAATGACTAAACGCAAACACAATGAGTATACGAGGAAAATAATAAAATACCTACATGCTTTCTTAGTTGCATGAACGTTGATTTTGTACCTAATACTTATAAAATATGCTCAAAGTTATTCCTTCTTCAATGCTCCTAGAGCACCTGCCACAAGCCCAATTTATACAAAGCGTAATGTAATGAAAATAACATACCTGTCTATCGAATAAAGTGCCACTTTAGTAGGTAATTTGAATTTAACCGCCATTAACCGAGCCCTTCTCGTAATTCTCTGTGAATTCCTGCAGAGTCCTTTGAAAAGACTGATAGAGCAGGCAAATTGAAAAGCGACGCCTGTCTTCTCTCCAAGTTAATTGCCCCGTAAACGACTTCGCTACCTTCCACAACAGCAACTTTGACATCTCGAAATTTCCTTTTTCGTCCGACCGAGCTCATAAACGGCCGGACTTGATTTGCAGAAATATCTGTTGGACAAAGGAACATCTCTGGTAAATCGAAATTCTTTTGCTAAAGGTCAAGAGCAAATCACGATATTTAATAATTATTTCACTCTGTTGGGCTTCATGCTCCACAGCGGGTGCTATTCATCCTTGTCACGGCATATAATCGCTCTGTAAACGAATACCACTGGCTGAATAAAAATAAAGTTTCCGTGCCATTACTGAAGACAGAGCGCCGTTTAATTGAATTATTTTTATTGTTCACAATGTTACCGCAAAAGTCCTAAATGATGGTGCCGACCATCCGTCAGGCTTTTCAATCGTGTCAGTTTCTGCAACAGGTGGTAGCCAAAGTTAGTACGACAGCTTGCTGGTTACGCTGTAACGATTCTGGCCACAACAGTCTGTTGCTGGACATGGGCTACCGCACCCCATACCGGGGGATATTGCCTTATTCACGCGCTTGGCAGGTGCATTGGCAAGTGCAAAATGTTGCGTTTAACAGGGACGCTGCTGCCCATTCTCTGGATGATTCTGGAATTTACTAACTAGTAATGCCAGCACGCCACATGTTACCAGGGTAAAAAATATGTATTTTTTTTTAATTGTATTATTTATTATTATTAGTAATGAAATTTGCGCCTAAAAGGACATTTGCACACCCGATAAAGGGTTAAATATATCTACTGCACTAGTTTATAAGAACTTTAACAGTGTATATTTTAATGCAAATAAATTATTATGATTATGGTTGGTAGCATAGCATATAATTATGCTAATAAACCTGTTGACTACTGAAAACTAGTACAAGTGCTGGTGTGAAAGGGTGTACTAATGGATATTAAAAGTTTAGCCAAATTCGGACGTTTAGCAGCAACATAATAATAAATAAGAGATAAAAACTCACAGAATTAAATACCTTAGGCTATAATATTTTTCACTGGTATGAGATTGTTACAGTAGATATACTTAAATACCTACAGTTTGACAAGCTATGAAAATTGTTGATGTAGTTATTTTCAACATGAATAAATGCAATATTGCTATTTGCATAATGTAAGTATGAACAAGTGAAACATACTTTTAATAGTGTGGCGTAGGTTGTTTTTATTGGACATAAAAGGGCGTGGGTTTAATGTGTTATAAAAGATAGAAAACAACATCTTTTGGAGTCCAAGCAAAGTTATCTAGTTGTAATACAATTAAGATGTTTAAATAACTTAATGATGGTTCACCCCAAGAAACAGTTTCAGTCCGTGAAACTTCAATCGCCTTAGGGAGAAACTTTATCAAACTCTCCATAAAAAAAATCATGTTCCTATCTAATGTTCTAATCTAATGTTCTTTGGGGAACGTTGTTACCTTAATCACATGGAGGTTAACTTCTTCTAAAATACTAGAGGTTTCACCCGCTACGAATCATTTTCCTACAGGAAAAAGGCAATTTCCGGCATGTGTTACACATATAAACCTTTTTTAATCACTCTATCTACTTATTACCCTTCCTTTTGAATCACTCTATCTATTATAACAAAACGCATTCAAATCCTTTGCGTGATATGGGAAGTTAGCGAATTCCACGACAATTTATACTAGGTATGTATTGATGATATTAATTGATTACCCTAATACTTATTTCTTTTTTTTTTAATTTCTTTTTCTTCAATTATTTAGATTAATTAACCTTCGCTTCTGAATATCCTTCTCATTTCTAAGGATTCAAGAAAAGCACCGGAAATCAATTTGAAAACACGGAAGACTTGCATATCAACCTACCTCTAATTTATGTAACGACAATTTTATTGTTATTATTATTGTTGTTTTATAAACTGTAGGTAGCGCCACTTGACCAATATCTGCCCACACAGCAGCACTGTTTTTAACCTGGAATCAATACCTATTTACTGGTTTACCTTAGAGCCATCAAGAATAACCAGTTTATGTTGAGCCCTTAAACGTATCAACTTTGGTGTAGTATCGTTCCATGTACTTATCTTGAATACAGTCATGTAGACTAGCCTATAATCCAACCGACAGACTCTATTATCATAAATATGACGTCACTGTCATACGAGTGGTGAATTATGGCCCAATTTCATCTATTAATACCTTCTTATAACATAATACTTGCCATTTTGTAAGCTTTACATAAAGGCTTTAAAGGTGCTTCTGAAAAACTTAGAGTAGAAGTCAAACTTACGAGTACGAACGCACAAAACGAGTTGGTGAACTACATAAATATCACGCCTATATGTATCCCTCACGGCCATAACTATAGGTACACCACGTCTGACAAATGTTTGAGAGTCACCCAGAAGACTGTGTATCACCCACCAAAGTACTAGGTTGTCAGCTTGTCGCCTAAAATTGCAATAAGTACATGAACTCTCAAATCCCTTAGTAAATTGATGATGTGTAAATCATATTCTCATTTTCAATAGCAGCTTCCATGAAAATCTGTTGGTGTATCCTCATTTTAATCGAGATAGGAATAGGATGTAAGAGTAATGTAGATCGAAGATGTTTTTATCACTACGTCGTAAAAAGCCTTATAGGTTGTAAGAATAAATTAATCGCGGAAATTAATATACAAGGTAGGTACTTTACACTTTAGAAGTGTTAATAGGTACAAGAATAGGTAAGATAGTACCTTATAGTATAGTTAGATACCAAAGTACCTATATAAAAAACCTGTCAGTGTCAACCGATCGCGATATTGAGCTATCTGTTTCCAACGTCTAGGTACTCGCAACTAACAGCTTTCTGAAGAAAATTATCTGCTTGGGAATGGAAAACTTGCTTTCCTCCCTAACAATAAAGTTAAAGTAGGTACGTGATTTTGTATTGGAAGTAGAATTTTACGTTGTTTTCCACTGTTACTACAAAGCTTAAGTTTTCTGCACACCGTCTTTCCCTTACACCGGGTAAATACTTTAAGGAGGAAGGTCCACTCGGTTATTTGCATCTCACACCTACACTTTAACTGGAAGCTGTTTAACACCTACGTGCAGTTTTCCTAATATCCATCAAATGTA